TAGAATAGTGCCTGGGCCTTCCACAGTTCTCAGTAAATAGGCTGTGGGTGCAGTAGCTCACACCAGTAATCCCAGGACTCTGGAAGACCAAGGCAGGAGGATCGCCTGAGCCCAACAGATTGAGGCCAGCCTGGGCAACATAGGGAGACACCGTCTCTGCAGAAAAATTTTAAAAACTAGTCAGGTATGGTGGCATGCATCTGTTGTCTCAAGCTACTCAGGAGGCTGAGGTGAGAGGATAACTTGAGTGTGGGAGGTCAAGGCTGCAGTGAGCCATGATCACGCCACTGCACTCCAGCCTGGGTGACAAAGCAAGACTCTGTCTCAAAAACAAATAAATAAATAAATTAATTAATTAATTAATTAAATATTCACTACCATGTTGTTTAAGCTCACAACATCTCTAAGAGGGCTACAAATTATTAGGCTTACATACAGATGATACAATTAAATACAACGTCAATTAGCTGACAAATGGCAGGGCCAATGCATGAACTCAGGAGTGTCTCACTCAAGAGTTTCTGCTCTTAGCCCCTGTACATATCTCCCGGCATGTACCCAGGCCCAGTCTAGCAGAAATGGATGAGCTGCTGGAGGCCTCTGAGGGGCAGTACTGAGAATGGGGGGAGCAGGTTGGGAGTGAGAGTCTCAGGGCTTCGACTTGTGCCATTTGTAAGGCACTGACCCTAGATTCTCCCAGTCATGTCATATATAAATATAAAAGGCCGATAAGTGAATTATGGCCAGGCACAGTGGCTTACCCCTGTAATCTCAGCGCTTGAAGAGATTGAGGTGGGCAGATCACTTGAGGCCAGGAGTTTGAGACCAGCCTTGCCAACATGGCAAAACCCCATCTCTACTAAAAATACAAAAAATTGGCCGGGCGCGGTGGCTCAAGCCTGTAATCCCAGCACTTTGGGAGGCCGAGATGGGCGGATCACGAGGTCAGGAGATCGAGACCATCCTGGCTAACCCGGTGAAACCCCGTCTCTACTAAAAAATACAAAAAACTAGCCGGGCGAGGCGGCGGGCGCCTGTAGTCCCAGCTACTCGGGAGGCTGAGGCAGGAGAATGGCGTGAACCCGGGAGGCGGAGCTTGCAGTGAGCTGAGATCCGGCCCCTGCACTCCAGCCTGGGTGACAGAGTGAGACTCCGTCTCAAAAAAAGAAAAAACAAAAAAAAATACAAAAAATTTAGTTGGGCATGGTGGCATGTGCCTGTAGTCTCAGCCACTCAAGGCACGAGTCTCACTTGAGCCCAGGAGGTTGCAGTGAGCCAAACTGACACCATTGCACTCCAGCATGGGTGACAGAGGGACACTCCATCTCAACAAAAAATAAAAATAAAAAGAGTTAATAAGTGAATTATAAACCTCAGGTTGGTTGAATCCCTATTGTGAAGCACAGAGATCATTATTACTTCATTTGCTGTAACCAACTTCTCACCCTCATCTTGAGACATGTGTCTGTGTGACTATTTATATCGGAATTAATAATGTGCATGGTCCTTAGTCCCAGGGAAGCTGAAAGATCGGAGGTGTTGCCGGAGCTGCAGGGACATGGAGAGCTGGCTCCTGCCCAGCACAGAATGAGGACAGGTCTGCTTCGATTCAATCTCAAGTGGTTTCCACCCTCTCGAATCTCAGCTCCCACCTGAAAGCCTGGTCTTGAGACTACTGTGTCTCCTACCATGCCCACCAGCCGGCTGAAAGCAGGTTTGGACCTGTAAGTAAGCGTCCCTAAAAAAGTCAAGAAAGACCAAACCTCAGCTTAACTGCAACACACCCTTCCCATTCATCTGGATGTGACACCCTTCAAAGATAAACACTGACAGTGAAACCAAAATCCCCCGAATGTGTATGCCCTTTGTTTGTTGCCAACTTGGGAGGTTGTATACAACTAACCCATGGGCCAGGGTGGTATGGTTTCTGGATTCCATGGGGCTGCTCCCCCTTCCTAGACTCTCTGGCAGCTGGCCTTGACTACTGTCCTAGACTCCTTCTCCACAGCGCCGCAAGGGAAGGGAAAACAGATTGCATTCACATGTATCTAATTCCTTTCTGGGCCTTGTAGGGAGAGGCTCAAACAGTTATCTAAGACAAAGGTTTTAGCAGTTGGGATTTTAATTTTTTCTTTTGGTATTGAAATGATCAAACGGTCATGGGCGTTTACAATTACTGACCTCAATCGGTATATTCTGCAGCTTGTTGATTGCCAATACCTACCCCTTCTGCTTTCTCAAAAAAACTACTGCAGACAAGAATCCATACTACGGATTTAGAAAGGAAGAAATTGAGTTTGTTAGGCTCTCATTCCAATATTCATGTCACTGAACTAGCTTTTCCAGAATTTTCTTTTCTTTTTTTTTTTCTTTTGAGATGGAGTTTTGCTCTTGTTGCCCAGGCTAGAATGCAGTGGTGGGATCTCGGCCATTTTTTATTTTATTTTTTTTTTTTTGAGACAGAGTCTCACTCTATTGCCCAGGCTGGAGTGCAGTGGCGCCATCTTGGCTCAATGCAACCTCCGCCTCCCAGGTTCAAGCGATTCTCCTGCCTCAGTTTCCTGAGTAGCTGGTATTACAGGCACACGCCACCACGCCCAGCTAATTTTTGTATTTTTTTTTTTTAGCAGAGATGGGGTTTCACTGTATCAGCCAGGCTGGTCTTAAACTCCTGATCTCAGGTGATCCCACCTCAGCCTCCCAAAGTGCTGGGATTAAAAGGCATGAGCCACCGCACCTGGCCAAAGCATATGCTTACCGCAGGATCCAGCAATCACGTTTCTAGATACTTGCCCAAATTAGTTGAAAACTTATGTCCACGCAAAAACCTGAACATGAATGTTTATACCAGCTTTATTTGTAATTCATAACTGCCAAAAGTTGGAAGCAACCAAGATGTCCCTCAGTAAATGAATGGATAAACTGTGGCACATCCATACCATAGATTATTATTCAGCAACAAAAAGAAATGAGCTATCGGCCAGGTGCAGTGGCTCAAGCCTGTAATCCCAGCACTTTGGGAGGCTGAGACGGGCGGATCACAAGGTCAGGAGATCGAGACCATCCTGGCTAACACGGTGAAACCCCGTCTCTACTAAAAATACAAAAAACTAGCCGGGCGAGGTGGCGGCGCCTGTAATCCCAGCTACTCGGGAGGCTGAAGCAGGAGAATGGCGTGAACCCGGGAGGCAGAGCTTGAAGTGAGCTGAGATCCGGCCACTGCACTCCAGCCTGGGCAACAGAGCGAGACTCCGTCTCAAAAAAAAAAAAAAGAAATGAGCTATCAAACCATGAAAAGGCATGGAAGAGCCTTAAATGAATATTACTGTGTGAAAGAAGCCAATCTGGAGAGTCCGCCTCCTGTGTGATTCCAACTGTGACATTCTGAAAAAAACTATAGAGACAGTGGTTGCCAGGGAGTTGTCAGGGGAGGAAGGGTAAGTAGGTTCAACACAAGGAATTTTTAGGGAAGTGAAATTATTCTGTACAATATTGTAATGGTTCTACATGGCATTATTCATTTGGTAAAACCACTAGGATGTACAACACCAAAAGTGAACCCTAATGGAAACTACGGAACTTTAGTTCAGAATAATTTATTGATGGGATTCAGGACATGCTACCACAAAATATGGCACCATGACTGACATGGTTTGGATTTGTGTCCTCACCCAAACTCCTGTCCAATTGTAATTCCTAATGTTGGAGGCGGGGCCTGGTGGGAGGTGATTGGATCTTGGGGGTGGTTTCTAACAGTTTAATTTCTAAGAGTTTAGCACCATCCCCATAGTGCCGTTTGCATGACAGAATTCTCATGATATCTGGTTGTTTAAAAATATGTGGCACCTCCCTGCTCTCTCGCTTCCCCTGCTCCAGCCACATGAGATGTCTCGCTCCCCCTTTGTCTTCCACCATAATTGTAAGTTTCCTGAGGCCTCCCCAGAAGCCAAGTAGATGCCAGCATCATGCTTCCTATACAGTCTGTGGAACCATGAGCCAATTAAAACTCGTTTCTTTATAGATTACCCAGCCTTGGGTATTTCTTTATAGCAATGCAAGAACAGACTAACACAATGATATATTGAATATTTTAAGCTGAAGGAATTTGCAAAAGCAGCATGTGCAGGAAGGGTTTTCTGACCTTCCCCTGAAGCCAGGTCATAAGACCCTCGGGTGAGAGATGCCCTCCCTATACCTCGTGGAAAGGAGCGTCCGTATCTCTGAAGATGGAGGGACACAGAGAGGAATCTAACTAAACAAACGGGCCTTGATAAGCTTCCCCCAGCGGACTACACTTACTTCAAACTCTTTGCTCTACCATATTCTCCACAACTGTCCACCCTTTATCAAACCTACATCAAACTGTAACTGCTTCTTGGAGTCTTCATTTCTTTATAAAGGCTTCCATGTCACATACAACTTATATTAAATATGTTTATGCACTTTTCTCCTATTAATCTGTCTTCTGTTATAGGGTTCTCAGCCATGAACTTAGAAGGATAGAAGGAAAACAGATTTGTCCTCCCCTACAATATCAATATTGGTCCATCACTTGTAACAAATGTACCACACTAATGCAAGATGTTAATAACGGGAAAGTGTGGGAAGGGGAGAAGGGTGGGAGGCGGAGGGTATATGGGAACTCTCTACTTTCTGCTCTTTCTTTTTTTTTTTTCTTTCTGAGACAGGGTCTCTCTCTGTCACCTAGGCTAGAGTGCAGTGGTGTGATCTCAACTCACTGCAACCTCCGCCTCCTGCGCTCAAGCGATCCTCTCGCCTCAGCCTCCCGAAGTCAATCTGATTAAGACTCAACAATAAGAAAACAACCCGACTGAAAAGTGGGCAAGAGATCTGAACAGACACCTCACAAAAAGATATGCAGATGGCAAATAAGCATATGAATAAGCTAGGACGACAGGTGCACACCACCATGCCCAGCTAATCTGCTCTATTTTTTCTCTAAACCTAAAACTGTTATTAAAAAATAACCTATTGGTGCTTCCTGTGGCCGACGTCATCTGGAGGAGATTTGCTTTCCTTTTCTCCAAAAGGGGAGAAAGTTGAAACTGAGTGGCCCACGATGGGAAGAGGGGAAGCCCAGGGGTACAGGAGGCCTCTGGGTGAAGGCAGAGCCTAACATGGGGTTCAAAGCAACCTTGGCCGTTGGCCTGACCATCTTTGTGCTGTCTGTCGTCACTATCATCATCTGCTTCACCTGCTCCTGCTGCTTTCTGTACAAGACGTGCCACCGACCACGTCCCTCCAAGTGTGCCGCCCAGCTACCCTGGACCAAGCTACCAGGGCTACCACACCATGCCGCCTCAGCCAGGGATGCCAGCAGCACCCTACCCAATGCAGTACCCACCACCTTACCCAGCCCAGCTCATGGGCCCACCGGCCTACCACAAGACCCTGGCTGGAGGAGCAGCCGCGCCCTACCCTGCCAGCCAGCCTCCTTACAACCCAGCCTACATGGATGCCCCCAAGGCGCCCCTCTGAGCATCCCCCAGCCTCTCTGGCTGCCACTTGGTTATGTTGTGTGTGTGTGAGTGGTGTGCAGGCACGGTTCCTTACGGCCCATGCGTGCTGTGTGTGTCCTGCCTGTATATGTGGCTTCCTCTGATGCTGACGAGGTGGGGAACGATCCTTGCCAGAGTGGGCTGGGACCAGACTTTGTTTTCTTCCTCACCTGAAATTATGCTTCCTAAAATCTCAAGCCAAACTCAAAGAATGGGGTGGTGGGGGCACCCTGTGAGGTGGCCCCTGAGAGGTGGGGGGTTCTCCAGAGCACATCTGGAGTTCTTCTCCAGCTTACCCTAGGGTGACCAAGTATGGCCTGTCACACCAGAATGACGCAGCTTTCTGTATGATGCAGATGTGTCCTGGTTTCGGCAGCGTAGCCAGCTGCTGCTCGAGGTCATGCAGGCGAAACTTGGGATCTAACCAAGTTGGGCTTTGATCCTTTAGGCAGATGTCCCATTGCTCCCTGGAGCCTGTGTCGTGCCTGTTGGCGGTCAGGTGGCCCCCTGATGCCAGAACACCTCAGGCAGAGCCCTCCTCACCTGATAGCTGTCTGCCTGGACTGTCCCCTGTCCCTGCATCTTCCCTGGGACCACCCAGAGGGCCACATCCACACACAGCCTAGCTGTCCACAGGGAGCTCTGCTGCCCTTGCTGCCCCTCCCTTCCCACAGGTGAGCAGGGCTCCTGTCCACCAGCACACTCAGGTCTCTTCCCGGCAGTGTTTTCATTTTATTTTAGCCAAACATGTTGCCTGTTTTCTGTTTTAAAACATGATTAGTTGATATGAGACTGAAACCCCAGGGTTGTGGAGGGAAATTGGCTCAGAGAGACGGACAACCTGGCAACTTTGAGTCCCTGCTTCCCCTGACACCAGCCTCATGGAATATGCAACTCCTGTACCCCAGTCCAGGGTGCTCTGGCAGCAGGGACACCTGGGCCAAGGGGCCATCTGGACCAAAGGTGTGGTATGGGGCCCTGGATGGCAGCTCTGGCCCAGACATGAATTCCTCGGTGTTCCTCTTCCCTCTATTACTGTTTCACCAGAGCTGTCTTAGCTTCGAATCTGTTGTGTTTCTGAGTCTAGGATCTGTACCCTTGTTTATAATAAACGCAATCGTTTGGAAAAAATAAAATTAAAATAATCTATTTTTAAAGTCTCCCACTGTATTCTCACTTGATACATGAGTAAAGGTGATACTGAGGTGCAGTGAAAAAAGGATGACAGATCAACAAGATAGCCATATAAAAATAAAATGAACCTTGATTTCCTACCCACGCAAAATTCAAATCCAGGTGGATAGTCAATCTAAATATAAAAAGGAAGCAATTGACCAGGCGCAGTGGCTCACGCCTGTAATCCCAGCACTTTGGGAGGCCAAGGTGGGCGGATCACCTGAGGTCAGGAGTTCAAGACCACCCTGACCAACATGGCAAAACGCCCATCTCTGCTAAAAATACAAAACTTAGCTGGGCGTGGTGGGGGGGCACCTGTAGTCCCAGCTACTCATGAGACTGAGGCATGAGCATCACTTGAACCCAGGAGGCAGAGGTTGTAGTGAGCCAAGATCACACCACTGCACTCCAGCCTGGGCAACAGAGTAAGACTCTGTCTCAAAAAAAGAGAAAGCAATAAAACTTTATGAGCAATTCTAAGAGAATGGCCTTATGATATTAGAGTAGACAAAAACTCAAAAAGGACACAAAAAGTGCTGACCCTAAGGGAAAAAAAACATCAACAGGACCATTTTAGAATTAAGAGCTTCTTTTCGGAAAAATGATACCATTAAGAGAGTGATGAGGCAGGCTAGAGAATAGGAAAGGAAATGCTATGATAGGGAGTAATCTCCAATGTGTTGGTAAGTGAAAAAGGGGCGTGGCAGAACAGCATGGATAGAACAATGAACAGATACGGACAAAAAGAGCAGCCATTAGAAATTACACAACAGGCCGGGCGCGGTGGCTCAAGCCTGTAATCCCAGCACTTTGGGAGGCCGAGGCGGGTGGATCACGAGGTCAGGAGATCGAGACTATCCTGGCTAACATGGTGAAACCCCGTCTCTACTAAAAATACAAAAAACTAGCCGGGCGTGGTGGCGGGCGCCTGTAGTCTCAGCTACTTGGGAGGCTGAGGCGGGAGAATGGCGTGAACCCGGGAGGCGGAGCTTGCAGTGAGCCGAGATCACGCCACTGCACTCCAGCCTGGGAGACACAGAGAGACTCCGTCTCAAAAAAAAAAAAAAAAAAAAGAAATTACACAACAGTGTCTCCTCTGCATCTCAGCCTTTTAATATCATAGATCAATAGTGCCAAAGTGAAAACACTGTCAATGAATTTCTGAAGGAAAATGTGCATCTTGTTTTAAGTTGAGTATCAACTGAAAGTCTCACTCAGGCTGAAAACCTAAATTGATGATGTTGCTACTTGGGATAGTCCATTACAATCGCCTCCATTGTCAGCTGCATCCGCACCTCATCTGGACAGACATTCACTCGGCATGCAAGGTGGATGCTCATCAAAGCCCCCTTCTGCCGGGGCCTTCCTGCAACCAGCAACACTCAAGGACCCCCGCACTCGATCCACCCACAGGGCGTGGTTCCTCAGGATTTTCTTTCTCTACTCTCTATTATATTGTTCTGGATATTTTTCTTTACCTGCTTAATTACCAAAATAGTAGAAAAAGAGAGAGATTTTAATTACTATACTAAGGAAATGGAATGTTTTATCCTCAAAACTCAAGGCTGTCATTCATTAATAGGTTGTGCTGTCCAGGCACAGCAACTCACACCTGTAATCCCACCAATTTGGGAGGCTGAGGCAGGTGGATCACTTGAGGCCAGGAGTCCAAGAGCAGCCAGGCCAACATAGTGAGACCCCCATCTCTACTAAAAATACAAAAATTGGCCAGGCGCAGTGGCTCACACCTGTAATCCCAGCACTTTGGGAGGCCGAGGTGGGCAGATCACGAGGTCAGGAGATTGAGACCATCCTGGCTAAAACAGTGAAACCCTGTCTCTAGTAAAAATATAAAAAATTAGCCAGGTGTGGTGGCAGGCGCCTGTAGTCCCAGCTACTCGGGAGGCTGAGGCAGGAGAATTGCTTGAACTCGGGAGGTGGAAGTTGCAGTGAGTCGAGATCGTGCCACTGTACTCCAGCCTGGGCAATAGAGTGAGACTCCATCTCAAAAACACACACACACACACACACACACACACACACACACACACACACACACAAGAATTAGCCAGGAATGGTGGCATGTGTCTGTAGTCCCAGCTAATTGGGAGATTGAAGTATGAGAATCACTTGAACCTGGGAGGCAGAAGTTGCAGTGAGCCAAGATCACACCACTGCATTGGGCAACAGAGTGAGGCTCTGTTTCAAAAAAAAAATAGGTTGTGCTAATGAGGATTCTCAGAGAAATCCTGTAGCCCCTGGGGAAATGTGGAGCTGAGGGTCAAGGTCACAAACAGAAGGAAGGAGCCTTCAGCCTGGATGCTACAGGGACCCAGCGAGCTCTCAGTAGGCTCCAGAAGCAACCTAATTCACATACATGCAGTTAAAAGAAAAGTCTCGCCCTGATGTCCCAGTGGCCACCAGACACATATTCTCAACAGCCTAGATAATTCTACAATCAGACAGATTTCTTCCTAAAATTCTTCTTTTTGAAACGGAGTCTCACTCTGCTGCCCAGGCTGGAGTGCAGTGGCATGATCTTAGCTCACTGCAACCTCCACCCCGCCAGTTCAAGCAATTCTCCTGCCTCAGCCTCCGGAGCAGTTGGGATTACAGGCGCCTGCCACTGCGCCTGGCTAATTTTTGTATTTTTAGTAGAGATGGGGCTTCACCATCTTGGCCAGGCTGGTCTTGAACTCCTGGTCTCGTGATCCACCCACCTCGGCCTCCCAAAGTGCTGGGATACAGGCGTGAGCCGCCGCGCCCAACTGACTTCTTCCTAAAATTCTAAGCAAATCTTACCCAAGGGCAATTGCAGCTCCTTTCTTGCCCCTCCCTGGCCCCCCAAAATTCCAAAAAACAATGAAAGTCAAATGAAGAACATTTTGCCAGCGTTCCAGTTGACACAACTTTTGCAATTTCTGCAGCCAGAACAGACTCTTAGCAAACTGGTGTGGGAGGGCTGGGATCTGAGCAGAATGTGAAGTTCACATTTTTTCAAAGCTGCAGGGCAGACCCTGGTGTGCAACAGCGAGAACACAGGCTGGGGAGTCAGGCAGCTGAACTGGGGGTGAGGCTGGTCGATTCAGCTCTCAGTCCCACTTCAACATTTCCAAATGTGAGAAATTAGACGAGAGGATGTCTAAGAACACTTTCCGTCCAAACATTTGATGATTGCATAATAATATGTTTTTTTCATTCAAATTATCATCTTGTTTTTCTTCTGCAGTTTCAGTGTGTGTGGGGTTGGGGTGGTCTTCCTGTTCTGAGACACGATGGCATAGATTCACTTTCCCCTGCTTCTCACCTCTAAGTACACCTAAATACCATGGGAATAAATCAACAGACAATCACACAACAACCCTAAGAGGCGGAAAGTAGAGACAGACTGGCTGAGGACCCAGAGGCAGGAATAACACTGTGTTTGTGCCCTGGGCTGTCTTTTTATTCCCACACATGCCAGACTGAAAACGAAAGAGGCCTGCAATCCAGAACCACCAACAGGCCTAAATTAAAAAGAACAAATGGCCGGGCCTAGTGGCTCATGCCTATAACCCCAACACTCTGGGAAGCCGAGGCGGGCGGATCACCTGAGGTTGGGAGTTCGAGACCAGCCTCAACATGGAGAAACCCTGTCTCTACTAAAAATACAAAATTAGCCGGGCGTGGTGGTGCATGCCTGTAATCCCAGCTACTCAGGAGGCTGAGGCAGGAGAATTGCTTGAACCTGGGAGGCGGAGGTTGTGGTGAGCCGAGATTGCGCCATTGCACTCCAGCCTGGGCAACAAGAGCGAAACTCCGTCTCAAAAAAAAAAAAAAGAACAAATAAGGAAAAGCAACAAAAAGAAAAGCCTGCTCTCTCTGGCCAAAGGGCCAGGAAAGGGCAGCAAAGCGGAAACCCAGCAGGGAGATACATGCCCATGATTCACGCCTGGGCAAGGACAGCTGACCTGGCCTGCAGCAGCAGGGTCAGCAGGAGCTGCCTGGAACCCATGCCTCACTCCAAACCTGGAGCCGTGGCAGGCTACTGTGGTGTTCCCCTGGGTCTATGATGAGGAAGTGGAAGCAGCAGATGATGAGGTTGCAACCAGACTCAGATTTCTAGCTTTGTTCGTGATATTCCGGATGGTTATCAAGTCCAACTAAACCTCCTCATGGCCGGGCACGGAGGCTCTTGCTTGTAATCCCAACACTTTGGGAGGCCGAGGTGGGTGGATCACTTGAAGTTAGGAGTTCAAGACCAGGCTAGCCAACATGGTGAAACCCTGTCTGTACTAAAAATACAAAAATTAGCCAGACGTGGTGGTGCATGCCTGTAATTCCAGCTACTCGGGAGGCTGAGGCATAAGAATCACTTGAACCTGGCAGGTGGAGGTAGCAGTGAGATGGAGCCACTGCACTACAAGCTGGGTGACAGAGTAAGACTCTGTCTCAAAAATAAATAAATAAATAAATAAATAAATAAATAAATAAACAAAAAACCTCCTTTTGAGGTCAGGTCAATCAGTCGGTGACACAATTCAGGTCTTAGATGGTAGATTCCCAGGCATAGAATGCATCTGATAATGGCCCCAGATTTGTGGCCCAAG